AATTAGGTTTTTTTTATTTTTATTAATGCTGTTGAGGTTCTCACTAAGTTTTCTGAGCATCCTTATAACCAGTGTTTTGAACTCTGAATCTAGTTGATTGCTTGTCTCCAATTTATTTTTTTCTGAAATTCTGTTCCATTCTTTCATGTGGGATGTTTGTCTCCTCATTTTGGTTGCCTCCTTGTACTTGTTTCTCTGAATTAGGTAGAGCTACTATGTTTCTTAGGCATGATAGCATAGCCTAATGTAATTGGTGACCTGTGGGGTCCAGCAGCACAGCATTCCTGATCATCCAAGTTTGACATTACAGCTGTACCTTCCCCCATGTGGGCTGTACACCCTTCTGTTGTAATTGAGTCTTGATTGCTGTTGGCATGTCAATGGAAAGGGTTTACTCAGGCTGATAAGCTGACCACCAACTTCTAATCACCTTGGTAGATCAGCTGTGCTTGGGCCCACCACACAGTGCAAGACTTGCTTCAGCAGGGTTTAGTACCAGCTGATTCCACCACTTCAGTGTATCACTTGTGCAAGTATTTGAGTGGTGGTGTTTCAATGTTGCCTGAAGCTATCCACTGGGTGCATTGGCTTTGAGATCTTCTAGGAGTTGCAGGTCAAGGTCAGCCAATACCTGCATTCTGTCAAGGGCCACCAGGCATAAGCTACAAAGCGACCTACAGATGGCTGTTTCTTGCCCTGGGTTTAGAGGTGCCCAGGCAAGGCTGGCTACTGTTAGTACCAGGCTTAGGGCCACTTAATGAGAAGGGTTTGCTGATACCAGAAGCTGCTTGTTTGAGAGATTTTAGGAAAATCTGAAGCACCAGTCAAGACAGGCTAGTCCTATAGTAAAGCCACTGGAAACAGATTGGGTGGGCCCAAAAGTTAGGTGGAAAGGGCCTCAGGGAATCACCAGGGTGGTACACGGTTTAAGGTAGGTTGGCAGAGTTTCAGATATGGCACCTGTTAGCTCTGTGGGGGAAAGACTCATCAAAGAATGGCTCCTATCAATACTTTCCTCTGGGAGAGAGCTGTCCCTCTGGCTCTCACCTTGATGCCAAACAATGCAATTTCTCCTCATTTATCTCTGGTGCCTTTCAAGCTGCTCCCCTATGCTGGAGCTCAGAAAGAGTGAGTCCTAGTAAGTCAATGTACAGTCCCTTTTAAGAGAAACTCCCTGGGACTTCAGCAGTGTCAGTCTTCCTCAGCTTCAAGCCATACTAGTTTTTATAGCTAGAAGTTATTGGGATTTCTTTTGCTGGCACTGAAACCCTCAGTGGGGAGGTCTGATGTGGGACTGGGACACCTCACTTCTCACTCTACACTGCTGAGATCTCTCCTGATTGGTGGCTCTCTTTTATACAGAAACTATACAGAACAAGAACAAAAGAAAACAGAAAAGGAATGAAAACATGAACCTGGAACACTGAGAGAGTTTTAAGACAGAATCATTTTCTGAGCAAGACAAAATTAGACTCATCTCCTAATGAGTCTTGACTGGTAGTTTTTTTTCTCATTTGCCTATTTTTATATTTGGTTGACTTTTTCTTATTGATCTATAAGAATTTTTAAAAAGTCTTCACCCAAGGATATATTTTTTATTTTTAGAGAGGGAGGAAAAGAGAGGTTGAGGGTATCAGGGAGAGAGAGAAGGGGGAGAAAGAGAAACAATGGTTGTTTCCTGTACTCGCCTTGACCTTGGATTGAACCCACAACCTTTTGGTACACAGAACGATGGTCTAAAACTGAGTTACCAAGACAGGGCAATTTCTAAGAATTTTAAAAATATATCTTTATTACTAATCTTTTGTGGTTATATGTATTACAAATGTCTTCTCCTGGTTCATAGCTTGTCTCTTCACTTTTAAAAAATATATATTTTTATTGATTTCAGAAAGGAAGGAAGAGGGAAAGAGTAATAGAAACATCAATTATGAAAATCATTGATCGGTTGCCTCCTGCATGCCCCCTACTGGGGATCAAACTTGCAACCTGGGCATGTACCGTTGACCAGAATCGAACCCAATCCGCAGGCCAAGGCTATATCCACTGAGCCAAACCAACTAGGGCATCTTTTCACTTTTTAAAGATGTCTTCTGATAAACAGAAGTTGTTAGCTTTAATAAAACAAATTTATCAATCTTTTATGACTCATGAATCCATGTTTTCATTCTCTGGATATTCTGTGTAAACCTGTGTAATAATTTGTTCCTTGAAAGTTTAGACTGACTTGAAAACTATCTGAGCTAGGTAGGTTTTTTGAGTTTTGTGTGCCTGTGTGTGTGTGTGTGTGTGGCGGGGGGGGGAGGGGGGGGGAAGGAAAGTGTGGAGTGTGGTGTAAAATTTTAAATTACCATTTCAATATCTTTTACCAGCTGTACCTGTTTGATATATATATATATATCGTTCTTAAAAAGAATCAACTTTTGTTCGTTTGGTTCTATCTATTGTACCTATTTTTATTTGGTTGACTTCAGCTCTTACCTGTATTCTCTTTTCCCCCCTACTTTTTTAGTTTATTGTGTTGTTAGAAACTTTTCTAGTTCCGCAATTATGGAGCAAGTTTCTAATATTTATAAAGTTATAATTACTGGAGGATTCAAAATGATAAAAACTCTAGCACTGTCTCCTTCATATGATACCCTGTTTCCCTGAAAATAAGACAGTGTCTTATATTAATTTTTTCTCCCAAAGTTGCGCTAGGTCTTATTTTCAGGGGATGTCTTTTTTTAAATTTTATTTTTTTATTAAATTATCATCTTTGTACATATTTTACCATTGGCCCCCCCTTTCATACATACCCATCCTCCCCAGAGTTTTGTGTCCACTGGTTGTACTTATATGCATGTATACAAGTCCTTCAGTTGATCTCTTATTTCCCCCAGATCTCCCTCCCCTCCTCAGGGGATATCTTATCTTTCCATGCGCTAGGTCTTATTTTCGGGGAAACACGGTAGACATACAACTACATGGTGGCTCTCTTTTATACAGAAACTATACAGAACAAGAACAAAAGAAAACAGAAAAGGAATGAAAAGGAATGAAAACATGAACCTGGAACACTGAGAGAGTTTTAAGACAGAATCATTTTCTGAGCAAGACAAAATTAGACTCATCTCCTAATCAGATTCTGGACCTCACTCATGCCTTATCTTTGGAATGAAATGCTTTCTCTTTCACTCAATGTGACTGATAGTATAATGTGTAATTATACATTGTTGAAAAGATAGTTGGCAGGGAAAACAATGTCTCCAGAAATGTAAGCCAATAAAAGGGATTCAAGCCTTCAAGTGTATTTACTGGTAAACACACATGCACATGTGCATATACACAATTTATGATGACAGACTACTGCTAATACTAAAAATGTTGTCTACCAAAAACCTAGTTTCATTTCCCAGTTATTCCCTCACCAGTTCCCTGTGTCATATCTCCATGGAAAAAAGGAAGAATCCAAATTTCTAATGAGAGAAAACTGAGAAAGACAAGAGTTTCTATCCATGATTGGAAAAAGAGCTGACATAGACCAAGTATCTATGATAGAAGAGGAGGAGACAGCATAGATGGTGTATTCACAAAATGGATGCAGTATAAATCAAGTCAAGGTGGCCAGAAAGTATTTCTTACCTGAGTATCCAAAGGAAATACTGGAGATGGGGCTCAGGTAGATGCCTTTGCCATACGCTGCTCCATGCAGCTTGCAGGGAAACACCAGGATGAGTAATATGAGCCTAGGCCCTCCCATGACTGAATATTAGGGAGCCACAAGGTGTAGCCAGCCCTCTCTTCCCTCCATTATCACTAATTCAGATGGCTCTAGGCATCTAGTCTTAAAATGCCGATTGGCTGAACATTGATTGCAAGTTAACCCTTTTGTCTATAAAATAATAAATACTGAAGCCTTGGAGAGTGAGGAATAGCACAGCCACTGAGTCAGTCCCTCAGAATCCATGTTCCAGTCCCTAGGTATTGGTACATATGCAGATCTCCCCCCCCCCCCCCCCAAAAAAAAAGAACTACAGAACAGATAGCCAGGAAGAGGGCAATAACTGTTCCTTAGGGTTTCTCAGGGCAAAAAAATAAGTCTCCTATTGATACCATTATAATAACCAGGTTATTATTTAATAGAAAAGGAGTAAAGGAAAGACTAGGTAATATAGGCATGTCATGTATACAGCTTTGCTAATTTAACACTCTCCAAGCCTATTCCCCATAGAGAGATGTGGGAAGGAAGTGAACAAAGGCAGTTTGGACTAATGGGCAGTAAGGTCTGAGTGATATGGGACGACGATACCTACCTGTCAGTCACACTGGAGAGCGAATCAGTGGCCAGAATGTGTGTGGCCACTACAGCACTATACCTGAATATTTAAGCTTCTGAACAAAGAAGCCTCTTTCTCACATACAGCTGGGCTCTTGGCTATCCTGTTGCAGAGGGGAGCTACCCTGCACCCACGTGGCTCATGGCCATGTGGGACCCAACAATGGATTAACATGGAACCGACACTTTGGACACTGGCTCTCCTTTTGGCTCTACTGGAACCCGAGCTGCACTCTTTCATGACTGGTTTAAGGAGCATAGGACTTTGAAACCTGAGGAATGTAACTCCCCACCAATAAAGCCTTTTACCATATCTCATTCTCCCACGGGGGCTTCCGAAAATGCTTATTTCAGTGTTACCTCTAGAGCCACCCACTCCCATGAGCATAGGAGAAATTTAATTCTATGGTGATACTATACAACTCTGAATAAATAGTCACATATATTGAAAAGTACTAATAGGGTAATTTATCTAATGGCTGCAAAATTGGAGGTAAAATATATAAAAGCTACATTCATTCTATACATACAGTTCCAACTTCCTCCCTAGGGAAGCCACACACAGACTAAATTTAAGGATGCCGAGGCAACAACAACTCAGTACTCTAGGGCAGACTTTCCCAAAACCGAATAGGACAGAAAACAGGGGGTGGAGAAAAAGAAAAAAGGAGCACAGCCTCACCTGCAGTTTGGTGTAGGATGCATTCACCAGCCCATTGCGCAGGATTGAATGCCAGTTCTCAATGTGGGACCCACTGTAAGGCAGGGTAGAATGCATATCTTTTCACAGTAGGAAGTTCCCGGGAGTACTTTCAAGAATACCATTCCCACCCACTCTCACCCACACAGGACATGAAGATGGACACATAGGCATGCATATGGACATAGTCACAAGCATGCAGATGGACGTGTGTGACTAACCTCTTATATCTTAATATCCAGTCCCATCATCTCTTCCATGCTTTAGCTACTTGCATTCTAATTCCTCAACTGCTTATTCAATATTTTCACCTGCCTATTCCCCTAAATTTCAGATTGAATTCTTCTCAAACTCAACCAACTTATCACTGAATGCAAATATGGCTTACAGACCTGAACTCAGGTTTACTCTGGGAAAAGAGTACCACTACTCCTATGCATTACCTTTAATATGACTCTTTCTTTCTCTTTTCTCCCACAATTATAATTTCATCAAGCTAGTTTTCAAATCTAATCCCTCTAATCTGTTTTTTCAACCACGCTTTTATATGCAACTGCCATTTCTCAACTATATCATAAATAGCTTGAGAGTAAAGACCATATCACATGCTATCTTTTTATATTCTACAGCAAGCATGTCAAACTCAAAGGCTAACCTGGGCCAAATAAAAAGGTTTAAGTTTATGATGTGGGCCACAAAAAACAAAAGCTTCAATTTTCATAGAAACATAGGTTTCGCTGAAACCGGTTTGGCTCAGTGATAGAGCGTCGGTCTGTGGACTAAAAGGTCCCAGATTTGAGTCCAGTCAAGGGCATTTACATTGGTTGAGGGCACATTCCCGGTAGGGGGTGTGCAGGAGGCAGCTGGTCGATGTTTCTCTCTCATCGATGTTTCTGGCTCTCTATTCCTCTCTCTTCCTCTCTGTAAAAAAAATCAATAAAATATATTTAAAAAAAAGAAACATAGGTTTATTTTGAGACATACTGAATACAAAGGTTTGAAATAAATGAGTAATCGTTCACATAAAATAGAACATTTTAATAAAAATATTTTTTCTTGAATATTAATTTACCAGACACTGAAAAACTGCATACATTAATAAGCATAATACAACTAAATCTATTTTTCTTGTTCTCTGAAAGAGAAATATTTCCTGTTGTGCACACCAAACAAGTCTGTAAAAGATTAATAACATGGCAATTGGTTGCTAAAATTTTCGCTGCTAGTATTAGTGGAGAGAAACGGTGCACCTGTGCAAGGCATATAAGGGAAATGAATGCAACACAACTATAGTAATCGGTCATTAGCAAATACTGTAGTTAATTATTAATAACTATGTATCACAGGATATTGTAAAAATTAGGTTACAAAATTTTTATTAAAACATTTTTGACATACTGTCATATTGGTTGGGCTACAAAAATATTCATTGTAGCCACTTGCTGCTTGCGGGCCACGAGTTTGACATGCTTGTTCTACAGAATCTACCACAATATAACTAATTGTTAACTGGTGATGAACATAGGTAACACAAACTCATTAATCTCAAATGAACTCTCCCATCACCTTACATTTGTTGCCCTCTGCATTTCCCACCATCCCCCTCTTACTGGAAGGCAAAAGTGCTGCCATAGAGCTTCTTAGCAGTCCGGAACCGTGCCTCCTTGGCAGGAGGGCTGCTCAGCAGGAGGAACTGATGTGAGGTGTGCATGAACTTCAGCTGCTGCCAGGGTGGGGTGGGGTTAGAAAAACAGAGCAGAAATGGAGATCAGGGAGAGAAGGGTTGGGGATAGGGAGCAAATAAGGCTTACAATGACCCCAAATAAAGAAAATATACTTAGGCCCCAAAATCATTATTTTTATTTTATTTATTTCTTTATTTTTTTTTATTGATTTTTTACAGAGAGGAAGAGAGAGGGATAGAGAGTTAGAAATATCGATGAGAGAGAAACATTGATCAGCTGCCTCTTGCACACCCCCTACTGGGGATGTGCCCTCAACCAAGGTACATGCCCTTGACCAGAATCGAACCTGGGACCTTTCAGTCCACAGGCTGACGCTCTATCCACTGAGCAAAACCGGTTTTGGCCCAAAGACCATTATTGATGGGCAGAGACAATCAGGAAAATCTAGGACCAATGTAGTTGGCTGGTTTGGAGGCCCCTCCTGCCTCTCATCAGATATTTAAGTTTAGAAGAAAAAAGTCACTTACCCTGCTGAGAGGTAGTTTGACAATGTGTGACCTGTTACTAGAGATGATCCTAGAACAAAAGAAAGAAATAAGGAAAATGACAGAGTAAGTGTGTGGTTAGGCCATTGTGAACAAAGCAGCAGCCTTTCTGTGCCCTTAAGAGAACAAGCAAGAATTCCAGGGTTGTCTGAATTGTGTGAAATACCCAGGCCACCATCAGGATATTCCCTTGGGTAGTAATGCTTGCATATAAAAATGTAAAAAAAAAAAAAAAAAAAAAAAAAAAAAAAAAAAGCTAGTTACTGATAGTTAAATAACAGATGAAAGAGAGGGATGGGAAGTGAGCTGCTACATCTAGAGAGAGAAAAGAATAGAACAAAAGGAAGAGAATAAGAAGTCAGTTAAATAAATGAGAAAGAGGTCTGTATTAGAATGGTGATGAATTATCCTTGGGATTTAGAAACTCAGAACTGAGCTCAGGACCATCCCACGTGAGCTCAGAGGAAGTTTGAAGGCTCTTGGGGATGGTGAAGAATGGATAGAATATTACTGCTTGGGCAGAAGAAAGAAGTAGATGAAATTAGAACAAACTTCATGAGGATTCAAGGATAGATTAGGCTATATGTAGGCTGGACTAAGAGGACAAAGGAATAAAACACTAAGGGATCAGCAAAGGAACATTATCTCCTATAGTGGATGGTTTAGTTTTTCTGTGCTTCACCAATGTACTTATGATGCCATTCTGGAATATCTATGCCTTGTCATTCCTCATGCTAAAAAGGAAGCATGCTGGATTGAGAAACTACTGATGTCTAAGGCTGACTAAGAAGAAAGGGAAAAGCCATGTCAAGAAAACAGAACAGGCCAAAGCCGGTTTGGCTCAGTGGATAGAGTGTTGGCCTGCGGACTGAAAGGTCCCCGGTTCGATTCCGGTCAAGGGCATGTACCTTGGTTGCGGGCACATCCCCAATGGGGATGTGCAGGAGGCAGCTGGTCGATGTTTCTCTCATCATCAATGTTTCTAACTCTCTATTCTCTCTCCCTTTCTCTCTATAAAAAATCAATAAAATATTAAAACAAAACAAAACAAAACAGAACAGGAATCAAGATCATGGAGGGAACCATCAACAAAATGGAAAAGGGAACCCAATGTATGAGAGAACATTTCCCAATGATATTTCTGATTAAAGGTTAATTTCCAAAATATATAAATAACTCATACAACTCAACACCAGGAAGACAAACTATTCAATTAAAAAATGGGCAAAGTTCTGGCTGGTGTAGCTCAGTGGTTCAACATTGATCCATAAACTGAGAGGAACCAGTTCAATCCCTGGTCAGGGCACATGCCTGGGTTTCAGGCTTGATCCCTGGACCAGAAGTGGGGTGGTGGGGGGAGGGAGAGAGGGGAACATGCAGGCAAAAAGGCAGTCAATTGATGTGTCTCCCTCATCTCTCTATCCCTCTCCCTTTCTCTCATTCTCTAAAATCAATAAAAAATATATTTTTTTAAATGGGCAAAAGACGTGAATAGATACTTCTTCAAAGAGGACATTCAGATGCCCAATAGACATATGAAAAATGCTCAACATCACTAATCATCAGAGAAATGCAAATTAAAACTACAATGAGGCATCACTTTATACCTGTCAGAATGGCTACCTTCAATAAATCAACAAACAATAAGTGCTGGTGAGGCTATGGAGAAAAAGGAACCCTAGTACACTACTAGGAGTAATGCAGACTGGTGTAGCCACTGTGGAAAACAGTATGAGATTTCCTCAAAAAAATTAAAAATGGATTGCCATTTAACTCAGTAATTCCACTTTTGGGAATATGTCCTAAGACTCCTGAAACACCAATCAGAAAGAATATATGCATCCTATGTTCATAGTGGCATTATTTACAATAGCTAAGATCTGGAAACTGCCCAAGTGCCCAGCAATAGATGAGGTAAAAAAGCTGTGGTATATTACACAACGGAATATTTTGCAGTTGTAAAAAAGAAGGATCTCTTACCCTTTGCAACAGCATGGATAAACCTGGAGATTATTATGCTAAGTGAAATAAGCCAGTCAGAGAAAGAGAAATATCACTTGATCTTACTTATCTAATCAATAAAATAAACTGACAAAATAGATCTAAAGGCATGGATGCATGGTACAGACTGACATATTTTGGAGGTGAGGAAGTGGGGGAGGGAAGAAGGAAACTGGAAGAGGTTAACCAAAGAACAGACAATAGTGTGATGAGAGACAGGGGCTGGGTAGAGGGGGACTAGTGGGGAAAAAGGAGGACATCTGTAATACTGTCAACAATAATAATTAAAAAAAAATAGTAACAGAGCCTTGGCCGACAGCAGCTGCCCTCTCACTACAATAAGACTTGTTTGAGTTGTCTTGTACCCATGGTATGGGGAAGTGGGTTTTTGATATCTAAATCCAGCCTACCATCAGGAATGCACAAGGCCTACTCAAGAAGGCAAATAATCTTTCCACTAATATTTACAGAGTAAAATAAGATTGTTGTTAGAGTAATAAATTTGACAGTAAAATAGTAGACAAGTTTTCAGGCTAATTTAAATTGGCTAATTAAAATAAGTGAATACCCTAGAAAAATTAATAGTACTGGACAAAAAGCTGTTCCTCAAGTGTTAACTAAAATTTTTATTGGTAGTTCATCTCAGGATAAAATCTCACAACAGGAAATGAACCTAAAGCAGTCATATTATAATGCAAAAAATTAAAATTTAAAAGCTATCAAGACTACATTAAAAAATTTTAAAAGCCTTCTAATATTTAAATCAAAAAAGGGGGAAAAAATAGAAGAATATCATGTAACGAAAAATATCCTGTAAGTAAATTACATCTAGAAAATTTGTACTTTAGAAAGTTAATTGTAATGCTATCAGCAAGACACCCATGAAAAACACACATGGTGTCAAAACAAGCCAGAGGAAAATCATTTGGGCAAAAAATAAAAAGGATCCCAAGTCAAATTTATAGAAAATATTCCTTTATTAACTTTTGGTCGAGAATATGTTTGTATATTTTCAGAAAATAACTCCGAGACCATGTGGATTCTGGCAACAGAGAGGAATTGACAGGACTACTCCAGCCATGAAAACAGAAGAGAAGCAGTCCAGAGATGAAAAATGCTGACATCACCTTGCCATGACAGCAGTCAGCAGCTGGGAGTCACTGCAGGTTGCCCAGGACCAAACCAGAGAAGGTTGGACCAGCATTGCCACCATTTGTCCACCATCCAGAACTGAAATATCATTGCTGACATATACACATAAGGAACTGTTTGACATTGAAATTGGGTCTCAAAAGAACTGGTGGCCCAGAAAGAAACTCACTATAGACTGATTCATATGCCTTTCAGCATAACCATTATTGCCTGTCTCATTCTCAATTCTTATAAGTATATTTCCAGTAGGACATGATCTCACTCATCTAGGGGAAATGATGAACAACATAGACTGATAAATAAGAACAGATCCAGAGACAAGGAGGCATGAATCAGACTGTTGGACCTCAGAGGGAGGGTGGGGATAAAAGGGAGAGATCAACCAAAGGACTTGTGTGCATACATATGAACCTAACCAATGGTCAAAGACATCAGGGTGTGAGGGTATGAGTGGGGAGGAGGGGGGGATGTGAATGGGGGATGAGGACAAATATGTGATACTTTAATCAATAAAGAGATTTAAACAAACAAACAAACAAGTAAATAAATAAATCAGAGAGGGAGGGTGGGGGTTGAGGGCAGTAGAGAATGGTCAGAATCTTTGCTGAAAGGCTCTGGACAGTCTATATCAATGGGGAAGACCTTGAGAAAGGAAAAGGGAATAGTAGGGTGCAATGAAGTTATCTGATGCAAAAAATGTTAATTCCTATATGCAAGGAGCACTCAAAAACCTCCTGAGAAATAAGAAAGCCATAACAAAAAGTTGAGACATCTCAGAATTTGTGGGTTTTCTATAGGATTTGAGTTCTTGTCAAAGCTTGGTGTCAATAAAACCACAAGAAAAAGCAGCCATCTTTTTATAAAAATCACATTGGTTTCAAATGTTGATTACCAACCTAATAAAAGCTCCTTTCTCTTATCACAAGACAAAATGTTATGTCTTTCCAAAAAGAACCTGATGTTTCAAAGATGATCCTTAAGTCTGCTCTATATCTGCCATGAGTTTACATCTTAGCTTAGCATTAGCTGAGTCTTAATTCTTTCAATGACCAAAAATCTATATATATAAAAACCTAATATGCAAAGTGTCCTCTCAGGAGTTTGACGAACCGGGAGCTCGATCACTCGCTATGATGTGCACTGACCATCAGGGTGTGGTGTGGAATGAAGGAAAGCCCTGGCCAGCAGCTGGCAGCCGGGTAAGGGAGGACCCGGCTTGCAGCCAGCAGCAACTAGGAACTCTACCCATGCATGAATTTTGTGCACTGGGCCTCTAGTCTTGTATAATAAAGAAGTAATATGCAAATTAAACCTCACAAGATGGCTGCCTACAACCAGGTGGGAGGGAGGGGCGGGGATAGTGAGGGACAACCAAATGACTGAACAGCAGGCTGCATGGGGAGAGGTTGTGAGGGACAACCAGGTCAGCATGGGGGCAGTAAGGGGCAACCAGGCAGGTTGGGGAGGGTGGTTGCAATTGGGGGCAGGCTGGCAGAAAAGGCAATTGGGTGCGATTAGGCTGGCAAGGGGGACAGTGAGGAGCAACCAGACCAGAAGGAGGGGCAGTTAGGGGCAACCAGGCTGTCAGAGGGGGGCAGGAAGTGACCAGGCTGGCGGGGAGGAAGGGGGCAGCTAAGGGGTGACTAGGCAGGCAGGCAGGTGAGCAATTAGGATCCTGGGGATTGGGCCTAAACCGGCAGTCGGACATCCCTCTCACAATCCCCAGGATTGGGCCTAAACCGGCAGTCGGACATCCCCCAAGAGGTCCCAGATTGGATGAGGGTGCAGGCTGAACTGAGGGGACACCCATGTGCACAAATTTCGTGCACTGGGTCTGGAAGGAAGGAAGGAAGGAAGGAAGGAAGGAAGGAAGGAAGGAAGGAAGGAAGGAAGGAAAGAAGGAAGGAAGGAAGGAAAGAAAGAAGCTGAAACTGTCTCTAAGAGAAAGGGTAGGCTACACATCTAATACCATGTCCCTGCCCCAGTCTGGGAAGGATGAACCATTCTATCCATACCACTGCAGGAGAGGATGGGCCAGGGGATCCAGCTTGTCCATCTGCTTCTTGATTTCTAGGTATGATCCCTGTAAAACAATAGCCATAAGGTTAACTTCCAGGAGCAGTGGGAGCCCTCCTACTTTCCACAGATGACTATCAGGGCTCAGGGCAAGGTAGGTAATGAAGGCCATACAAAGGCAAGAGGAGATGGTTTCCCACTCACAAGGAACCCAGTCAGATTGGGAAGATTCATAAATAAATATGAAAATGAATGAAGATGCTTACAAAACAACATGTAGGTGGGTCTCCCTCATTTTATGCAATTCCTACCACCCTACAAAGTTGATTGTAAATAAAAAATAAATGAAATCAATGTCAGAAAGAATAGGCTAAGGAATCCTGTGGTAAAACTTTACATAAAGCAAAGAGTTCTTCTGACAAGCAAATCATCCCTTGTTGGTGTATCTTATGTATTAATATCAATTGTGATATTAGAATTTGCTAAGAGGCCCACGTGTAAATGAGCACAAATGAATGTCCATTCATACAGAGATTTCAGACAAGGGGTGGGGAAGTCTGGTGAGGCCTTGAGTCAAAGGATTGACACTACTCCATGTGGCTGCCCCACCCCTAGAAGGATAGAAGATGGAAGTCCCTGGGTCTAGTTCCTTATCTCCAAGAACCCCTTCTAAACCTCCCAACGGTCTTCTAAGAATTATGAAAAAATAAACATTAAATATGAACAACCTGTTAAGGAATTAGCAGCAAAAGCAAAGGTTGAGGGAGACATTTAGAGTAAGAAAGAAGAGTAATAACAGAGTTAATAAAACAGAACAGGAAGGAAGACAAAAGTAAACACTGTGAGGAATCTGAGTAGCATCTCTAAGTCTTCACTCCACTTCCATGCATTGCAAACAGAATACAACACTTGTGGCACAAGCAGAGGGCAGGGGACAGGCAAACAGTAGACTACCTGGGTCATCTCCCGGATGGACATCACACTATCCAGAGCTTTCTGAAGTCGTTCATAATTCTTCTTCTGTGGCAAATCAATGGGAAGAGAAAAATTAGATAAAGAAAAATGGAGAGTCAAGATGTGAAAAAAAGCAGAACCAGATATACAAAAAAAAGTTTAGGCCCTAGGGAAAGGGTAGTATGTCATGGAAAGAAAAGAGATTTAATGTCAATCACATGCTAGTTCTCTACCAACTGGGAGTAATAGGGTTAGTTACTTAACCTCTTGGAAGCCCAGTAATCTTGTGAATAAATGAAGATAAAAATTCCCACTATCCTAACCTAGATGTTCTGAAATAACATATGTAAAGAACCATAGTATGTGACATATAACAATGAGTAATAGTCAAGTACTATAATGATTGTGTCCATCGTTAATAATGTTAATTTCACTGGGCTAAGGAATGCCCAAACATTTGGTCAAACATTACTTCAGGGAGTGTCTGTGATAGGGTTCCTAGATGAGATTAATCCTTGAATCAGTAGACTAAGTAAAGCATATTGCCCTCCCTAATTTGTGTGGGCCTTATGCAATCAGTGTAAGGTCTGAATAAACAAAAAGGCCAAGCAGGAGGCTCCTCATGCCTGACTTCTTGAAGCTGGGACAGTGGTCTTTTTCTGTCTTTGGACTCAGATCTGGAGATTGCTACATTTGTATTGGAACTTAAATAATTGGCTCTCCTGAGTCTCTCTAGTCTGCTGACTGCTAATCCTGAGACTTCTGAGCCTTCATATTTATGAGCCAATTCCTTATAATAAATCTCCTGTTGTTTATGATTCTCTGGAGAACTCTACCCAATGCCATACTTTACATATTATCCCTAATTTTTGTAACAATCCACAAGGTAGATATTATCCCCTTTTTATAGATAAGGAAATTGAGATTCATTAAGGTTAACTGACTTGTCTAAAAACACTCAGCTAGGAAACAGCAGAGTTTCAAGTGGAATCCAAGTCTGCCTGGCTCCAAAGTCTTTATTTTTCCCTTTTATGCCATAATTAGTATTAATTCTTCTCTTCTTTTTCTGACAAAGACAGTTATTTATTCACTAAAATAGCTAAAACTTAAGGGTCAGGAGTTCCCAAGAAATAGGTCTTTCATTTCTTCTGATCCTTATTCTAAGATGCTGTGTAACTAGAATGACAGCTCATAGTCTCCACTATTTTCTACTGTTTCTGTTCCTTAGCCCTGACTTTCTTCCCAAGCAATTATACCTTAGGGTTAAAGGCCAAAGTTTTGGGATCAGTAGGGTCCACAACAGAGGGATAAGGCTCAAAGATGATGCTTTTTCTAGGGGACTCCAAAGCTGCCCTACACATGGCCACCAGCAGATCCACCACCTTAGGGGAAAAGAGAGAAAGGGGTCAGCAAAAGCTAAATGATTTTTCAGTTCTAGAAAACACATAATATCCAGAATAAATCTACCTTTTGGGATTTCAGCATTTTTCTCTGCTCTTCTTTTTAAAAGCAAATATGCTTTTTCCATTAGACAATATAAATTCATAAAATTTCAAATAACAATGATTTAGAAAGTGATTAAAAAATCCTGGCAGAATAGCTCAGTTGCTTAGAGTGTTGACTCAATACACCAAGTTTATAGGTTTGATTCCCAATGAGAGCACATACAAGAATCAACCAATGAGTGCATAAATAAGTGGAACAACAAATCAATGTTTCTTACTCTTTCTCTCTCCCCACCTCTAAAAATCAATTTTAAAAAAGTGATTAAAGATAAAATTCATCCCCTAAACAAATCTCATTCCTCATAGGTAAACTGCTAAGTTTGATGTATATCCTTCCAGATATTTTTCCTATGGAAATAGTTATTTTATTATATAGGCAATAAAAAAAAAGAACTATATTATTTATACTGATTTGTTTCCTTATATGTTATAATTTTCTATCCATAAATAATAGCTGAATAGTTTTTCCACTGTAGGGACATAAAGCATTTCCAGAGGTTAAGTTCTAAGGAATGAAAATGCTAGATTCCCCAGCCTTTATAAAAAAAAAAAAAAAAAAAAAAAAAAAAAAATATATATATATATATATATATATATATATATATATATATATATATATTTTATTGGTTTCAGAGAGGAAGGGAGAGGAGAGATAGAAACATCAATGATGAGAGATACCTCTGCTCCAGTGGCCACCTCCTCTGCAGCTCCAGACATGACTCCCAGTGTGTAGAAGGAGAAAACACACAGTTCACGAGTACAGACGGCTGGCTAAATGGACATATTAAAACACACAATGGTGGTAGGGGAGGTGCAGTAAAAAAGTATTTTAGGGAGAAAGGGACAATCCTGACTTCAGACAACTCTATAATGAGGCAAGAGTTTGGGGTCCACTGTGTCAAACTTACTGATAAGTTTGAAAATTAATGCTATCTCTTATACAAAGACTTCCATAACCTTCCTAGGTAGTTAGATGCTCTCTCGTGGAGTTTCACAACAGTGCTAATATCTCTTCTATACATTGATAGTGAAGTGTCTGTCTAATCACCTAGATTTGGAGTCCTTAAGGACAGTATCATACCCAATTATCTTGGTTAATATCTGATACCTACTTTTAAATGTTGGGTGGAGATTATATCTTCGAAAATATTCCCATTACCTCATCTTTCCTAGTGGGAGTGCTGACATTTATTCTTTGAGGGAAACAATTATTTCTAGAGTTTCAGGGAGTAAGGACAGAATTCCACCTTTACCATAGAACCAGGAAAAAAGAAGATAAGGAGGAAAAGGGTCTTGACTAAGGGTCCAAGGAAGAGGGTCACAGAGCAAGGGTTTATACCTTGAGCATGGACCCATTCTGGAAGACATGCTGCTCATCACACACCACACAATACTCATTCAATGTTGGAATTCTCTGCTCTGCATACTTCATGATCTGGGGAGAGAAGAGATTCTATTAAATCTTTTGTAAGCACAGGCACAGATATGAGAACTATTTTGAACTTCTTTTCCAGCTACTCTTCTTTCTCCCAGTCCTGTCCCTAGAAAAGAATCTTTTCCTGGGCCCTGCACTTAAACTAACGGCCTAACTCCAGAGGTAAGATTATATATTAAAAGTAAAAAAAAAACAAAAAAAAAAACCATCCTGGAAGGAGATCTAGGTTAAGATTTCCCTCTTCTCTACTTAATACCACATATAACTTCAGGCAAGTCAGTTAATGTAGGCCTTGTTTCTAAAGTGGGACATTACTCGAGAGAGACAAAAAATGGCGGAAGAATAGACGGGTTCTGAGCCTTGTCCAGAAGCAGAAAGAGAGAGCAGCTGAGGGTTGCGCTGGGAGTGTTTGTTAGCAAGCTAAGGGACAGGCGAACTCCAGGAGAAGGCGGGGGACTGCTGATCAGGGTGCCCCTTACAGGGATACACTCATGTGGGGCTGGGTCACCTCCCGCAGCTACCTACGGGCTTGGATGGGGAAATCTCGCCATCTTTAAAGGAAAAGTGGATCTTGTCAGAGAACTGAATATCCACAACCACAGTGACCACTGAGCAGCTGTGACCACAGTGACCACTGAACACCGGTCCCAGGTGGCTCGAACACTTGGACTCAAAGGAACGCTCCACCGCATGACTAAAAGGTCAGATTTCGCAGGGATAGGGTGAGTCCCTGTGAAGACAGAAGCCCGCGTGCTGCATGGAAGCTGGAGGACTGGGGCAGTGTTTACAAGGAGAAGCTGCAGGCTGTTGGGCTGGTGTGACCCCCGATTGTGGAACAGGCTCCTAATAGGGGAGATATCTAAAGAGTAACACATTTTGATCTGACGTGGAGGGATATCCAGAGAATTACAGGGGAGTGCAGTTGGCTTGGACTTGCCTCCCACCCCAACCTCCACAGATCAGTGTCACAGAGAGAGAGGGAAAAAAAAGCTAGAGAGGCTTTAGAGCCCTGGAAGTCAACCCATAAACACTGCCACCCAGAGGCTAAATCACAAATTGACCCTAGTGTAATAAAAAAGCAAGGCCTCCTTAAAAATCAGGACTGTTTTACAAAACTGAGGAGCAGTGAAATGCAGGGAACTGCAATACTGTCTGGATTGGGAATCTGGCATGTCAAACAGAATGACAGAGGAAGTGAATGACTTTTATTACTGCACTTTTATTTAATTTTTAAATTTTCATTATTTAAACATTTACTCAAGAAACTATTTTTTTTCCTCACTTGATTTTACCTTTTTAATTAATATACTTTTATATGTAATCAGCATTATTACTACTACCATTTTACCTTATTTACTTTTGTTTATTTTTATTATTATTTTTTTAAGTGTCATATTATTTGCTCTTTATTTTACTTCGGGATTAGTGTTCTATAGTGTATTTTTACCTTTCCTTCACCAACACTTTATTCTATCTCAAACCTATCTTTATGTCATCACTCTCTTCCTAACCTTTCCTCCTTCAGTGTCGTTTATCTGAACCATTTCCTGCACTAGATTTTCCCTCTTCTTTCTGTTTACCCCTGCTAAAATTTCACCCTACTTTGTATATCTAATTTCTAAACCCTTGCTCCAATCTCATACACACTGTCCTAAAAAAAAAAAAAAAAAAAAAAAAAAAAAAAAAAAAAGTCTTTCTATCTTTTTTCGCTGTCCTAAAAAAAAAAAAAAAAAAAAGTCTTTCTATCCTTTTGTAGTTGTATGTTGAATGTTAACTACATCGAAGTTTTATGCTTTTTTGAGATTGTTTTGCTTATTCTTTTTGTTTGATTGTATGTTTCTCTTAGTTGTATTTTAGTTAGTTGTTACTTCTCCTTTCCATTTCCTCGCTTGATATTAGTTGGTGTTGTAACTTGTATTAATCTCCAGATACTTGTTGCTTGTATTTGCTGTGATTAATGGTTGTTCTATTGGAGTTTCCTTCCCATATATATAGTTAGTTCCTCGTTTCTCTATTACTATCGTTCTAGTTTCTCTCTTTTTCCCCCTCATTCTCCCAATTTCATTTTGCCACTCCTTTTTTACTCTTCTATCTCTCCTACCCCCTAATTTGCCTTTCTCTAATGGTCACCTTTATTGGAGGTTCTTAATATTGCAAACAAATTCTGCTCAGTGCCTTCTGTGTTGTACCTGGTTGTGTTGTATTTTCTGCCTTTAAATCAACGCAGGAGAGAGAGAACTGCATAACCACACATCCTGAAAGGAGAGATCATAAGGAGACAAAGAAATAGCCCGCATATGAAAGTAAAGCAGGCATCACCAGAAAAGGAAGTAATTAAATTAGAAACAAGCAACCTACCAGAGCAAGAATTCAGAGTAATGATCATAAGATGGCTAAAAAGAATGGAAGACAAATATGACAATATGAGTAAGAAACAAGAGGAAATGAAGAAGAACCAAGAATAAGTGAAAAATGGCATCGCTACTGTAAAGAACGCAATAGAAAGCATCAAGAGTAGACTAGAAGAAGCAGAGAACTGCATCAGTGAGCTATAAGACAAGATGGAAAAAAATACCCAATTAGAGCAGCTTCTGAAAAAAAAAAATTAAAAAGCAGGAGAGTGTAAGGGAACGTTGGGACAATGCAAAACAAAACAATATTAGAATAACAGGGGTTCCAGAAGGAAAGGAAACTGAGGAAGACATTGAAAACCTGTTTGAAGAAATAATGACAGAAAACTTTCCTGAGATAGAGAACAAAAAACCGACACAAATCCAAGAAGCTTGCAGAGTCCCAAGCAAAATGAATCCCAAAAGACCAACACCAAGATACATTATAATTAAATTGGCAAACACCAACGACAAAGAATCTTAAAAGCAGTCAGAGAGAGACAGAAAGTTACATATAAAGGAACCCCCATCAGACTAGCAACTGATTTCTCAGCAGAAACTCATCAGGCCAGAAGGGAATGGAATGAAATATAAAAGTCATGCAGAGAAAGATCTGAATCCAAGAATACTGTACCCAGCAAGGCTAACAATCAAAATTGAAGGTGAAATCAGGAGCTTCACAGACAAAAACAGACTAAGGGAATTTATCACCACCAAACCAGCAATGCAAGAAATGCTAAAGGGTCTACTGTAAAAATAAAGAAATAGGAAACGAGGAAGGAATACAGGGGTATAGAACAAAAATGGCGACAAATAAGTACCTATCAATAATAACTTTAAATGCAAATTTTTTAAATGCCCCAATCAAAAGATTCAGGATAATGGATTGGATAAAAAAAGAAGACCCATATATCAGCGGTCTACAAGGAACCCATTTCAGAAAAAAAGACGCAAATAGCCTGAGAATGAAGGGATGGAAAAAGGTTTTCCAGGCGAATAGAAATGACAAAAAAAAAAGCTGGGGTAGCAATACTTATATCTGATAAATTAGATCTCAAAATGAAGGACATAAGAGATAATGAAGGCCACTTCATAATACTAAAGGGAGCAAACCAACAAGAAGAAATAACACTGGAATACATATATGCACCCAATACAGGAGCACCCAAATACATAAAAAAAAAAAACAAAAACAAACTGCTGGAGGACATTAAGGGAGAGATTAATAGCAATACAATCATAATAGGAGTTTTTAATACCCCATTATCACCGTTGGACAAATAATCTGAACAAAATATCAGCAAAGAAACATCAATCCTAAAAGACGCACTAAACCAGATGGAATTAATTGACATCTTCAGAACATTTCACCCCAAAGTCACAGAATATACATTCTTCTCAAGAGCACATGGGACATTTTCAACGATAAACCACATGTTGGGACATAGGCAAAGTCTTCAAATTCAAGAAGATAAAAATCATATCAAGCATCTTCTCAGATCACAGTGGCATAAAACTGGAAATCAACTACAATAAAAATAATCCAAAGAAATCAAACACATGCAGACCAAACAGCATGCTATTAAACAAGGACTGGGTTACCAGAGAAATCAAGGAAGGAATTAAAAACATCCTGGCAACAAATGACAATGAAAACACAACAATACAAAACCTATGGGACACAGCAAAAGCAGTTTTGAGAGGGAAGTTCATAGCTCTACAAGCCTATTGCAAAAAAACAAGAAAAAAATAGTAACAAATTAACTCTACAACTCAAAGAGTTAGAAAAAAGTAACAAGAAAAGCTCAGTGTAAGCAGAGGAAGAAAATAATAAAAATCAGAGTGGAGATAAATAACATAGAGACGAAAGAAACAATACAAAAGATCAACAAAACCAAGAGCTGGTTCTTTGAAAGGATAAACAAGATTGAACAATCTCTAGCCAGGCTCATCAACAAAGAGAGAGGCCCCAAATAAACAAAGTCAGAAATGAAAAAGGTGAAATAACAACAGACCCCACCAAAATAGAAAGGATTGTTACAAAATATTACGAACAACTCTACTCCAACAAACTGGACAACCTGGAGGAAATGGACATATTCCTAGAAAAATATAACCTTCCAAAACTCAATCAAGAAGAATCTAAAAATCTCAATAGCCCAGTGACTTTGGAAGAAATCGAAAAGGAAGAACTAAAACCTATCCTCCTCAGACTATTCCAAAAAACTCTTCCAAACTCCTTCTATGAAGTCATCATCACCCTAATACCAAAACCAGATAAAGACAACACAATGAAAGAGAATTACGGGCCAATATCCCTCATGAACAAAGATGCCAAAATCCTCAACAAAAATCTAAAAAATCGGCTCCAGAAGCACATCAGAAAGATCATACACCATGACCAAGTAGGATTTATTCCGGGAATGCAAGGATGGTACAATATTCGCAAATCAGTAAACGTGATACATCACATAAACAAATTGAGAGATAAAAACCATATAGTTATATCAATTGACGCAGAAAAAGCATTTGATAAAATCCAACACCCTTTACTGATAAAAACTCTCAACAAGGTGGGATAGAAGGATCATACCTCAACATAATAAAAGCTATATATGATAAATCCACAGCCAACATCATACTCAATGGACAAAAACTAAGAACAGGAATGAGACAGGATGCCCACTGTCACCACTCCTGTTTGACATAGTACTGGAAGTACTAGCCATTGAAATTAGACATGAAGAAGAATATAAGGCATCCAAATTGGAAAAGAAGAAGTAAAATTGTCCTTATTTGCAGATGACATGATACTGTACATTAAAAACCCAAAAGACTCCATCAAAAACTAATAGATTTAATAAATGAATTTGGCAATGTAGCAGGATACAAAATTAATGCCAAGAAATCTATGGCATTTCTATACACAAACAGTGAACTTACAGAAACAGATACTAAAAAAGCAATCCCATTTACCATCACACCAAAAAAAAAATTAAGATACCTAGGAATAAACTTAATTAAGGAGGTAAAGGACCTTTACCTGGAAAACTACATGACACTGAAAAAAGAGATAGAGGAAGATATAAACAGATGGAAGAACATACCATGTTCATGGATTGATAGAATCAACATCATCAAAATGTCCACACTTCCCAAAGCAATTTATAGGTTCAATGCACTCCCCATTAAAATACCGACAGCATATTTCACTGACCTAGAAGAACTCTCCAAAAATTCATCTGGAACAAAAAAATCCCCGAAGAGCCACAGCAATCTTGAGAAAGAAGAATAAAGTAGGAGGTATCTCAATGCCAGATTGCAAGCTGTATTACAAAGCTACTGTTCTCAAAACAGCCTGGTACTGGCACAAGAACAGACATAGATCAATGGAATGGAATAGAGAATCCAGATATCAACCCAAATCACAATGCTCAATTAATATTTGACAAAGGAGGCAGGAATATACAACAGAGTCAAGACAGCCTCTTTAATAAATGGTGTTGGGAAAATTGGACAGATACATGCAAAAGAATGAAACTAGATCACCAACTTACACCATACACAAAAATAAACTCAAAATGGATACAGGACTTAACCATAAGACAGGAAACCATAAAAATACTAGAGGAGCCGAAACCGGTTTGGCTCAGCGGTAGAGTGTCGGTCTGCAGACTGAAAGGTCCCAGGTTCGATTTCGGTCAAGGGCATGTACATTGGTGGCGGGCACATCCTCGGTAGGGGGTGTGCAAGAGGCAGCTGGTCAATGTTTCTCTCTCATCGACGTTTCTAGCTCTCTATCTCTCTCCCTTCCTCTCTGTGAAAAATTAATAAAATATATTTTTTAAAAAATACTAGAGGAAATCACAGGCAGCAAAATCTCAGACATATGCTGAAAGAACTTCTTCACTGATCCTGCCCCTAGGGTAATGGAAGCTAAAGAGAAAATAAACAAATGGGACTACATCAAAATAAAAAGAGATGCAAATCAAAACGACAATGCGGTACCATGTTACACCTGTCAGAATGGCTATCATCAACACATCAACAAACAACAAGTGCTGGCAAGGATGCTGAGAAAAAGGAACCCTCGTGCACTGCTGGTGGGAATGCAGACTGGTGCAACCACTGTAGAGAACAATATGGAGTTTCCTCAAAAAACTGAAAATGGAACTCCCATTTGACCCAATAATCCCACTCCTAGGAATATATCCTAAGGAACTAGAAACACCAATCAAAAAGGATATATGCACCCCTATGTTCATAGTAGCACAATCTACAATAGATAGGATTTGGAAACAGCGTAGTCCCTGTCAGCAGATGAATGGATCAAGAAACTATGATACATCTACACAATGGAATACTATGGTGCCATAAAAAAGAAGGAATTGTTATCATTTGCAGCGATCTGGATGGAATTGAAGAACATTATGCTGAGTGAATTAAGCCAGTCAATGAAAGAAAAACACCACATGATCACACTCATTTATGGATAATAAGGAACATTATAAACTGATGAACAAAAAGATAGATACAGAGACAGTAAAGAAACAAACAGACTGTCAAATTACAGCAGAGAGGGTAGGGAGATATGGGGGAGATAAGAGATTAACTGAAGGACTTGCAGGTATGCATATAAGCATAATCAATGGATGAAAAACTCTGGGGAGGGAGGGCATGTATAGGAGTGAGGGGGTGGGTATTCATAAGGTATGTATACATATAATACCTTAATACAAAAAATGAGAAAGAAGAAAAAATTTTTTTAAATAAAGTGGAACATTACTCACCTCATAGAGGAATTAAGAGTAATGAGATGATTTCTATTAAAGTATCTTTTAAACTATTAATAAAACTATTAAAATTAGTTGTAGTAATTAGAGGTTATTTGATGTCAGGGGATTTTGAGAAGCCATTTCAATTACTTAGAACAATCAGCCTATCCACTGGTCACACCACAGATACAACTCTGCACTTGAAAGGGAGAACAGATCCAGAATAAAATATACTGGAGTATTTTTTTTTTTAAAACATTCTGTCTTAACATGGCTTTTCAACCAGGTACATTTTGTGTATAAATAAAGTTATTCTCATTCATATACTTTGAGGCTGGTAAAGGGACATACAAGGGCTTATATTCACTCAAAGATATTTAATGGATATTATGTCTCCAGGTCAAGTGAAAGTCTCCTTGATTATCCTATATAATAAAAGCCTAATATGTTAAGTGTCCGGTTGTCCATCCAGCTATTCAACCAATCCTACCAATAAAAGAGTAATATGCAAATTAACCATCACTCTGCTGCACCTACCAGCCATGCCCACTAGCCAATCAGAGCGAGTATGCAAATAAGCCCAACGAAGATGGCTACAGCCACGGAGAGCAGGAGGGAGGCTTTCCGCCCTTGCTGGCCTAAGCCTCCACTCAAGGATACAAAGTTTCAATTCTAGAAGGTAAGCAAACCCAAACAGAAATGGAGACAGCCAAGAGTGGGAGGCTAGGGTTGCCTCTGTCAATGGAAGAAGCAAAGCTTTCCACACACCCTGGCTGGCCCAGGCCTTCACTTAAGGCCATAAAGTTTTAATTATAGAAGGATAATAAACTCCAACAGAAATGGCTGCTGGCCACAGAGCGAGCAGGAAGCTTGACTCTGCTCCAGGCTATAAAATTTCAATTGTAGAAGATAAATAAATTCCAGATACCAGGGCCTCCGCTTGGGTCACCAGACTGGCCTGCAAACCACCACAGGCCCCTCCCCCAGGCAGCCTCACGCCCCAAGGGAACCACCACCCTGATCTGGGACACCCTTCAGGGCAAACCAGATGGCCCCTGCCTGTGCACCAGGCCTCTATCCTATCTAATAAAAGAGTAATATGCAGATTGACCATCATTCCAACACACAAGATTGCTGCCCCCATGTGGTCAAAGATCCTGCCCCCATGTGGACACAAGATGGCCACCACAAGATGGCCAGCAGGAGAGGGCAGTTGGGAAGCACCAGGCCCGCAAGGGAGGGCAGTTGGAAGCGATCAACCCTCCAGGGGAGGGCAGTTAGGGGTGACCAGGCCAGCAGAGGAGGGAAGTTGGGGGCAAACAGGCTGGCAGGGGAGCAGTTAAACATCAATCAAGCTGGCATGGGAATGGTTAGGGGGTGATCAGGCTGGCAGGCAGAAGTGGTTAGGGGCAATCAGGAAGGCAGGCAGGCAAGCAGTTGTGAGCCAGCAGTCCTGGATTGTGAGAGGGATGTTCGACTGTCGGTTTAGGCCCAATACCAGTGGGGTCCCAGATTGAAGAGGGTGCAGGCTGGGCTGAGGGACAACCCCCCCTCCATGTACGAATTTTGTGCACCGGACCTCCAGTCAAAATAAAATATACTAAGGCTGCTCAACAGCTCGCTATGATGTGCACTGACCACTAGGGGGCAGTGCTCTGACTGGTAGGTGAGCTTGCTGCTGGGGTCCGGCCAATCAGGACTGCACAACACAGGCAAGACACACCCTGGAGCCCTCCTATGACCTCTCCCCAGCTGGCCAACCTTTCGCATCCCTTTCTGGCCCCGATCCTGCACCAGTGGGGTCCCTCAGCCTGGCCTGCGCCCTCTCACAATTCAGGGCCCCTCGGGGGATGTTGGAGACCCTTTTCAGCCTGACAGCGGAATGACCAGTCGCTATGACATGCACTGATCACCAAGGGGAAGACGCTCAATGCAGGAGCTGGCCTCTAGTGGTCAGTGCAGTCCCATAGGAGTGCCACTCAGCTAGAAGCTGGGCTCACAGCTGGAGTGCAGTGACGGTGGCGGGAGCCTCTCCCACCTTTGCGGCAGTACTAAGGATGTCCAACTGACAGCTTAGGCCTCCTTCCCCTCCACCCCCTGAGTGCATAAATTTCATGCACTGGGCCTCTAGTGCAATAATATAAAAGATTGTCTTCTCAGAACCTATACTCCAAAAGGGGAAATATGGTATGTATACAAATTACAATTCAAGGCAGCATATGGTATGTGACATATAGATGCCATTGAAAAACAAAAAGCATCATGAGAGCTCAGTAAGTAGAGACATCACTTTCAACTAATTAATATAATTGGAGTGATGGAGAAGATTTTATGGAAAAGATTAAACTGAGTCTTGATTGCAGATATAGAGGAAATCCAGTGGAAGAAATTACATGAACAAAGGTAACAGGGATGTAAAAGTGAAAGCATGTCCAGGAATAAAAAGATTTTAAAAAGAAGAAATGACCAGTAATGGCTGAGCAGTGAAAGAGGATTACAAGGAAAACTGAAGACCACTTGAGCAAGAATGTTAGGGATGTTAAGGAAATTAGTGTCAAATACTTTCTCATCTTGAGACATTTAAAATCTGCACTTGATCATAAGTGGTCTGTAAATAGTCTTTCCAGTAATGTCTAACTTCTTGAGGATGGAACTATGTCTTCTTTTCTCTTATCCACATAATACTTAGTATAGTTCTGGGAGTAACTCAGGAAATATTTAATGGACTGAGGAGCTAGATGTTAGGGGATCAGATGGATCAGACAATAGGGAAAAGGCTTTGGAATGAAACAAACTTTGGGCTTGATTTACCTGGACAAGGAATCCATATTCCAGAGTGGGGATGTTCTTGCAGTGACCACTGACCTGATAAGAGTAAAAAGACATACCCCATGAGCCTTCTATAAAACTGGCAGCTGTATAGACATCATTCACGCCCTCACTTAGGATTCTCCTAAAGTAGCTAAGCCCTAGTTCCAGTCAGCTTAAGTAATTCCAAAGCTGGAGACACATTTAGGCATTTTTATGAAAGGTGCTTAAAAACAGCTGGCCTAGCCTGTTGGTCTGACTCAGTGATTAAGCTCTGATCTATAAACCAAGAAGTCTTGGTTTTCTTCCTGGCCAGGGTGTGGGCCCAATCTGCACTACAGGGCATGCAGGAGTAGCCGATCAATGATTCTCTCTCATCATTGATATTCCTATCTCTATTTCCCTCTCTCTTCTTTTGAAATCAATAAAAATATATTTTAAAAAATTAAAAGAGCTGACCCATCTTTAACCTTCTTCAAGATAGGTGGAATAGGTTAGTACAGCAGCTATCAATTCTTAACCAGACCTAAAATCATAAAATGACATTTCATTGGAATACCCAACCCTAGACTTTCTGCTCAATAGCTTAGGTATAAATAAGTTTTCAGCTATTAAAAAATGTGTTCCATTCCATCCAGTCATGGCACATGCCCAGGTTTGATTTATGATGCTAGGAAAACCTTTCTTCCACCCCATTTTAAGAAGTTATACTCCCACAATTCCACTCCCACCCTCCTGATACCCAAGTCAAACCCGCCCCAGCTCATGTACCAAAGGAGAGGTCCGTGCTGGGGGAGGGAAGCCCAAGTGCTGGGGGCACAGGAGACCTGCCTGGGGGCTGGGAGAGTAGCCAAACACTTCCACTTTGGGGTTCTTCATGGTACAGGAGATGGAACGGTTCATGAGACGCCCAACCCGAAGCTCTGGTACAGCAAGTTTGCCTTTCAGCATGGAGTCCTGTATAATAGGGAAACTGGGAGACCTGGAGAGAGAGCAAGAAGTGATTAAACTGGGGATTCAGTATGAGCCCTAGGAGAGGTTTGGAGATAGTGGGCCTTAGGACAGGATAAGTGAAGTAACGTAAATCAAAGAAGGACATATGAGGAAAGTTCTCTGGATCTAAAAACTGTTAAAATAAGTAAATAGATCACACATCTGATTTTTATGTAATTATCTATGTGTTTTTCTGGTTGGAACCTGGAGGGTTAGGCAGAGGCTAAACCTAGATAATTTTATGGCATCTAGACCAGGTATGGAATGATCCCTCGGAAAGGATGCATTTCACTTACACACACACAGAGTGTGTGTGTGTGTGTGTGTGTGTGTGTGTGTTATGTGTGTATGTACTTACTGGAATATACATATGATTAAGTGCTAAATATTGTACTAGTCAAGAATTAGTTTCATCCCAAAGAGCCTGATGATGTCCAGTCAACAACAGTACCTGGGAAGCTAAAAATCTGGGCCTGTATTTGCCTTTGGGAAGATCAGAAAGCACAGGAGGGGGTAATGTTTTATTTATTAGATAACTGATAAATCGATGTACCCTTGCATAAGAGCAAGGAGTCGGTGTCTGCTGACTCTACCTCTTTAGGATAGGCAATAAGGACAAGGGTCAATAAATTCAAAAAGATTAGCACACATTTTCCCAAATTCATACCAGTTAGGTATTATGGTTTACATGAAGAGTGAGGTATAAAAATTGGGATCAGATGTAGAAGGACAAGGAGCACATATGAATACTTTTAGTAGTTAAAGGTACAGAATTCACAGGATTCAAGGAGAGTACAGGATATATTTAGGTAATCAAGAAGGCGGGGTGGGGGATTAGACAAGCTAAAGTGACTGGAGATGATTAGCTCCCAAGGAAGCACTTACTTGGGGATGGGTGACAAGATGCTGAGGCCAGCTCGGAACTTCTTGATGGTACCAGATGCCTTGAACCAACTGTGCCTCTTCTCCTGTTGGGTCTTCAAGAAATCGTTGCTGAGATGTTTCCATTGTTGGGATGTGAACATACCCAGGATCCTAAGGAATTAAGGAAAAAGGGCTTAGGAAAGCTCAGGCAGGGGAATAGGTTAAGAAATAGGACTATGAAAAGCAATTAATCTAAAATTCAGACAAAGGAACTGCAAAAGTAGTGGTGGGGGAATGTGTCTGAATCCCCTCCCCATATAACTTTAGCACATTAAAATATACTGTCCTAAAGTACTTTTTTACCTACCTATGGGTTAAACACCCACTCCAATTACCTAGTCTAAAAAAATTATCAGATGCTTTGCCTTTAGAGATAAGCATACAAAAGTTGTGAATCTTGGAATTTGTTGCCAAGAATGAAATATACTGAGAATGAAATGAAAATAGTGATATAGAGATAAGTACCACCCTCTGCCTTGTGAATAGTGAAGAAAAAAAAAACTAGGGACATAAGAGATACTGACATTGTCAGATAAAAACTTACATCCCCAAATTTATGATTTTCAACTTGAGCTGGGCCCTCAGCTAGTCTTGTCAATCCTTTCATTTGCCTTCAATCAGTCTCTCTAGTATTACTCTAAGTCAGCAATTTTCAACACCGGTATGCCGCAAGAATTTTTATTTATTTTTTTAATATATTTTATTGATTTTGTACAGAGAGGAAGGGAGAGAGATAAAGAGTTAGAAAAATCGATGAGAGAGAGTCATCAATCAGCTGCCTCTTGCACACCCCCTACTGGGGATATGCCCGCAACCAAGGCACATGCCCTTGACCGGAATTGAACCCGGGACCCTTCAGTCCCCAAGCCGACGCTCTATCCATTGAGCCAAACCGATCTCGGCTGCCGCAAGAATTTTTAAAACATGCAATACCAAACCATTTGGTCAGGGGAACTGACCTCTTTTTCCTTAGATTGTCAAATTTAAAATGCCAACACTCAACACAATAGCCATCTCATTTGAATTAATCAAAATCATACTTTTTTTTTTGTCAGATTAGTAAAAAATATATTTTTGGTGTGTTGCAGAATTTTAGTAATTAATGTGTGCATTAAGATGAAAAAGGTTGAAAATTGTTTCTCTAAGCTATTACCTTAAATCCTATTAAGCAACTAATTTAACCTACAACAAATGACCTCCCTTCTTTCTAGAGAAAAATAGAAGCCACAAAATATCAGCTCTCTTAATTTTCCAACCTAATTACCAAATCTATTTCCATTTTCACCCCTACCAAAATCCCTCCATTCTTTGGAGACAAGATAATCCTACTATTAAGGATCAATGCCTCTATTTGTGCTCCAGATCTCAGCCCTTTTTCTTTTTAGGGATCTTGATATATCAATCATCCTCCTCTATTACCAGTTTCTTTCCCAATCTACAAAAAGTTCCAAGTTTCTACCCCTCAGTCTAGCTACCTAGCTACCTCTCCTTCTTTTCCTCCTATCCTATTCTAAATTTCTCAATCTATACTTATTGTTTCTACTTCATTACTAACCACTCACTTATCAATATATTCTACCTTCACCATTCTACCACAACTGCTCCTATCTTGATGCTAAATCCAACAGAAACTGCTAAGTTCTCTTACTGATTCTCTCTTCCACCTTGCCTTACTTGTAGAAACTCTTCTTTTTGGCTTTTGTGACACCATTCTCTTCCCTTTCTTCTCCAACTTCTCTGACCTACCTTCAGTGTTTCTTATTCTTCTGCTTACCCTGATAATTTCTTGGGTATTTTGTCTTGAGGTTAAAGGGCGTTTTGCCCTTGATCTTTTCACTCCATTATGCTCTCCTCTAGCAATCTCCAATTCTACACTGGTTGTAATCTCCATCCATAAACTGATTGATAAATATCTTCAATCCTAACCTCTCCTATAAGTACCAAATCTACATAGGTATCTACTAAGCATAGCCACTTAAACATCCCAAGGTTACCTTTAAACATGTTTAAAATGGAACTAATTATCTATCCTTACTCAATAAACTTGCTCCTCTTTTTTAAATCCCTATTTAAACTGGTGATATTACAATTTACCCAGACATATGGGATGAAAACCTATGAGCAATTTTCCACTATTCCTTGGCTTATGACCACATACAATATATCCAAATCAATCTTCAAGTCTTACTGATTAAAAAAATATATCACAAATAGAATTTTTTATTTGTCACTATTACATGTCTGAATTTTAACCAGATTCTTGAACTGGAGGCTCATATCCATCAGCTTGTTCAATTTTAGCACCTGTCTCATCCCCAGTAGCTTTTTCAGAACTGCTACCTTCACCAGGAAGCTTCATGAGTTTTCCCAGTTCAATCTTGGGCTTCTCCAGCATTTTGACTTTACTAGCAAAAACATTATGGAGCAGATAAATAGATTGGCAAGCTTTGTCTTTGTCTCTTCCCAGTGCTATCTGTAATCAATTTATTGACCACCTATCTCAAGCCATTTGCACCTCTCAGGTCACAATTATAATCTTCTTCTGGATTTGGTGAACTTGTTGATGCTGAGCATAAAAGGTCTTCCAAATCTGATTGTTGCTTTTTTATTTATTTTTATTTATTTATTTAGTAAACCAACACAGAATAGACAAAGTAAATAAGCATCAGTAGTCTTGACATCAATAAGAACTTAAATCATGGTCTGTTATTTTTTTGACCCTGGAGCACATTTTATCACAGGTAAGATTCATGGAAATAAATCCTGAACATTCTCAATTATTAGCTTAAATTTTCTAAGTGTAATTTCATCACTCTGTAGATCAGCTAGGCTTGCTTCAAAAACACAACTCCCTTGCCCTGGCTGGTTTGGCTCAGTGGATAGAACATTGGCCTGTGGACTGAAAAGTCCCAGGTTCAATTCTGGTCAAGGGCACATGCCTGCGTTGAGTGCTTGACCCCCTGTAGGGGGCGTGCAAGAGGCAGCCGATCAATGGTTCTTTCTCATCATTGATAGTTCTATCTCTCTCTCTCTCTCCATTCCTGTCTGAAATCAATAAAATATAACTTTAAAAAAGTTATAAAAAAACAAATAAACATACATAACACAAACCCACAACCTTCCTTGACTCCTGCTGACTAGTGTTTTTCCAATATTTCTTACATTGAACATAGCTGGTGCTTTTCTATCACATCTATCCTTCTTAGAAAATGGATCAACCACTTTCTTTGCTCCCTTTTTGCCGCCCTTCATAAGGCACTTGTTCTTGCTGACTGCCATGATGCTGCTCAGAGAGCCAAAAGGCAAGTCTTATTGATCTCTATACCTTATAAATCTCTCTCTCCAGTCTAGTATCTCGCATCTCTATTCTTACCTGCAGTCACACTTTGGTTCAGGCCCTCATCATCTCATGTCTGGACTTCTACAAAAGCCTCTTAATAAAATAAGAGTTCTGATCTCTTGTCTCACCCCTCCTACCTATTTTTGCCCAGTGCTACCAGAACAGTGTTTTTAAAGTTAAATAAACTATGTCCTTTCTCTGCCTAAAACCCTGTAATACTCTCACTCCTGACAACATAAAAGCCCATGATCCTCTCTGATTTAGACCCTTTCCTGCTTCTCTGGTTCAGTTCCTGCCACTCTTCCCTTGCATTTCACTAGCAATATTAACTGTCTGAAGCTTTCTACATATATCTGCCTCATGTCACTGTGCCCTAACAAATGTTATTTACTTTTAGAGTCTGTTTACGTAGGCATCTCTTATCTATCCTTGAAAACCATTCATCTCCCTTTTATTCATTCATTCATTGTATTCCTCCTGCCACCAGACTGAGTCACTCCTTCTCTCGGTTCTTTCTAAAACTTATGTATTCATTTGTATTAGAACACGTATCTTCACTGGACTCTATTTGGAATTCACTGAGGGTAGACTATGTAGCTCAATTCTCTTTGTATACCAAATATTAGCAAGGTGCTCAACACATTCAATAAATTAAACCTGTCTAACTTTTAGACCCCACTTGAGAAAATTATAAGAGGAAATATGAAGAGAATGGCTCTAATTCGATTTGTACTTTTGCTTAAATACTAAATACTAAATACTAATCAACCTATCTTTTTACCTTCAAGATGTCTCAAGGACAGATACCCCAGAACCACAGGTTCCTTTGCCTAACCATAAATTTGGCTCCTCAAATTTATTTTAGTCTTTTTTTGGCATATCTCAGAAAGACATTTTGGAAGAAAATATTCCATCCAAGGATGGACAAACATTCCATCTGCCTGTCCACCCAACTATGTCTATAACCAGAAAGATCAAAGTTCTCACTTTTTCAATTGAAGACCCAGGCCAAATCCTTCCTTATTTGATGGCTGGAAAACTTCAATTGATGGTTCTGCAAAGAGAAAAGAAAGCTTCTAGTATGTATATGTCTTTATACTCCTGGGAGTCCAAAGCCCCAGTTCAGTGGACTAGTTTCCTCAGATTCTAACCAATACTCTAAACAATAATGGTGGAGAAGAAAAACATTTGCAGCAAAAGGCATAGTCTGGAAGCTGACTGACCAATTTCAAGTTGGGGGGGGGGGTGGGAGGGAAATGAAAGAAAACAATTTCAATAACCAAGAAGGATTGGAGAGTTTACTACCAGTTGACAGGGAATGAAGACACGAGTAAGAGGGGGCTGAAAAGCCCCTACCAATAGCCTACAGATTATGCCCAAGGGCCTTATTCCTAGTTTTTCTCATTTCTCTTAATTTAGGACTTTGGATTAGTTCATACTTGACCAAAGTCACTGCCTTTACCTGGTCCATCAAGGTACTGAGAAAGAGAAAATCGTAGCCTCAACACAATAGGTTCTGTCCGGAGGACCTTCCAGGCTGTAGAAACTTCCTCCTAAAAAATAAGGTCGTACCCAAGTCACAGCACCACAATAAATCCTATCTAATAAAAGAGTAATATGCAAATTAACCATCACTCTACTATACCCACAAGCCACGCCCACCAGCCATCCCCACCAGCCAATCAGAGTGAATATGCAAATAAACCCAACCAAGATGGCTACAGCCACAGAGAGCAGGAGGGAGGCTTGGATTTCCCAGGCAATGGAGGAAGCCAACCTTTCCACCCGTCCTTGCCAGCCTAGGCCTCCATTCAAGGCTACAAAGTTTCAATTATAGAAGGTAAACAAATTCAAACAGAAATGGCAGCAGCCATGGAGCTGGAAAGAGCGGGAGGCTAGGGTTGCCCCCGGCAATGGAAGAAGCAAAGCTTTCTGCACACCCTGACTGGCCCAGGCCTTCTCTTAAGGCTACAAAGCTTCAATTATAGATACAGAAACCCCAACTAAAATGGCTGCTGCCGATTGTCAAATTACAGCGGGGAGGGGAGGAGGGTCTGGGGGAGATAATAAGACAACCCAAGGACTTGTATACATGCATATAAGTACAACCAATGGACATAAAACTCTGGGGAGGGAGGGGATATGTGTGAGGGAGGGAGGGGGGCAAAAAAAAAATCAATAAAATATGAAAAAAAAAATAAAAATATAATTTCCAAGTTAAAAAAAAAAAAAAAATGGCTGCTGCCACAGAGCAAGCAGGAGGCTTGGCTCTGCTCCAGGCTACAAAGTTTCAGTTGTAGAAGATAAATAAATTCCAGATACCAGGGCCTTCGCTTGGGTCACCAGGGGGCATGACTGGCCTGCAAACCACCACAGGCCCCTTGCCCAGGCCACCCCACAACCCAAGGGAACTTCCACCCTGATCCTGGACATCCTTCAGGCAAACCAGCCGCGCCCTCCCCGTGTACCAGGCCTCTATCCTATCTAATAAAAGAGTAATATGCAGATTGACCATCACTCCAACACACAAGATGGCTGCCCCCATGTGGTCAAACATCCTGCCCCCATGTGGACACAAGATGGCCACCACAAGATGGTCAGCAGGAGAGAGCAGTTGGGAGGGACCAGGCCGGCAGAGAAGGGATGCAGGGAAGGACAGTTGTGGGGGGACCCAGGCTTGCAGGGGAGGGCAGTTGGGGGGGGGACCAGGCCTACAGGGGAGGGCAGTTAGGGGTGACCAGGCCTGCAGGGGAGGGCAGTTAGGGGTGACCAGGCTTGCAGGGGATGCAGTTAGGGGCAAATAGGCTGGCAGGGGAGCAGTTAGGCATCAATCAGGCTGGCAGGGAGTGGTTAGGGGGTGATCAGGCTTGATCAGGCTGGTAGGCAGAAGTGGTTAGGGACAATCAGGAAAGCAGGTGAGCAGTTGTGAGCCAGCAGTCCTGGATTGTGAGAGGGATGTCCAACTGTCCTAAATGGGCAGTTGGATATCCCTCAATGGGTCCCAGATTATAGAGGGTGCAGGCAGGGCTGAGGGACACCCCCCTCCCCGCCTTCCACGAATTTCGTGCATCAGGCCTCTAGTAAGTAAATAAAAAAGAACAGAAGAGTAAGGGAAACAGTTTCAAGCTAGCAACAGAGAGAAATAGACCTGAAATTTTTCCTATGCAACACACACATGAACATGACAGTACACATCTCTGTATACTGATGTTCAAAAAAAAGACAGGGATGGAAAATACATGCTCCAAATATAGCACTTAGGAATAAGACTCCTGGACTATATGACAAAATCCATTAAGTCCAGCTAGGTATGTTGTTGGCAGGTATTTAGCACCACTTACATCAAGGAAGCTAATGTTGATATGGAGGTCAATGTCCACGTCATCGATGGTTCCATATTCTCTACAGAGATACAGGCAATCACAGGTGAGACTCATTAAGGGAGAAAGAAGGGAACAGAGACTGAGGAAGGGAAGGAGAACTGAGCCAGGGCCAGAGGAGAGGGACTGGTAGAAAGTATCTCTGTACCTAGGCTCTTAGCTACAGCCTCAAGCTACCTAATAATCAGAACCTTCTCCAGGCCAGAAGCCTTTCTTACCTCAAAGTTGAAATTATCAGTCTAGAGGGGTCAAGGATAAGAGGGAATGTCTAAGAAAAGTGGCTACACTGCCTTACTTACCCATCAGCCAAGGTTAAATACTCTGAGCAACTCTCATGATCACTAAGCTCATAATTTATCAATGTCCACAGATCCCCTACCATACCATAGAAAAATATCCAGTCTTTTAACAGCTCAGAAAGAAGTGGCTTGTCCACTGCCATCTCTGAAGTGGAATCCCACCTGACAGATACAGAGTTCTCACTGTAGACCTCCTTCACAGCTTCAATGTCTGCATCAAGCTGTGGGTGTCGATATAGGTCAGCTGCACAGCTCCCCTGAGTCAGTAGCAAAAACAGCAGTGGGTAGAGAGGAAGACAAAGGGGTAAAGAGAGAGGTGAGAAATAAAATGAAGAAACCAGGAGCAGGAAAATTAAACAGTAGCAGTACATATAAGCAAAAAGCTATGCATACAAAGGGGCTCTTGGTGGCAGCCCTACCTGGGGATTTCATTGACAGACCAATTTCCCTCCATCACCAGTATAAGAAGTTTCAATAGACAACTTCACATCCTTAAGTCTCACTTTTCCTCTCACACTTTGACCAGAATACTTAGGTGTCCCTTCTATGAAAACTCAGAACAGACTGAAGAGTAGAGAATTTAACTCAGATTGGTTCTATCTGAAGAGTCCAACATTCCTGTTCAAGATCATGCCTTGGGTAGTAATGACATTAAGCAATCATTGGCAGGGACTTTTTTTTTTTTTTAATCTTCACCCAAGAATATATATTTACTGTTTTTTTGTTTTGTTTTGTTTTGTTTTGTTTTGTTTTGGGGGGGGAGAGTAAGAAAAACATCGTGAGAGAAACATTGATTGGTTGCCTCTAGCATACATCCTGACAGGGGATCCAACATACAACCTAGGCATGTGCCATGACCAGAAATTGAACCGCAATCTCTTGGTGCATGAGACAACTCCAACCGATTGAGCAACCTGGCCAGGGCACTGGCAAGGTAATTTAAAATATATATATATATATTTTTTTACAGAGAGCAAAACAGTTAGAAACATCAATGAGAGAGAAACATCAATCAACAGTCTCCTACACACCTCCTACTCAGGGTGTGCCTGCAATAAAGGTACATGCCCTTGACCAGAATTGAACCTGGGACCTTTCAGTACACAGGCCAATGCTCTATCCACTGAGCCAAACCGGTTAGGGCTGGCAGGGTAATTTTTAACAAATTTTTCCCATAATGGTTAAAATGATCCCATTGGCTAGAGAGGGAAGTCATAAAATAATTATTTCCAAAGAACGTGTGGGTAGCTCTAGCAGGTGTTCCTCAGTTGTTAGAGTTACCCCACATACTAAAGGGTCATGGGTTTGATTCCAGGTCAGGGGCACATACCTGGGTTGCAGGTTAAATCCCTAGTCGACCCATATAGGAGGCAATTGATATTTCCCTCTGTCTCTTTCTCCCCTCTTCCCTTCCTCCCCCTCTCTCTAAAAATCAATGGAAAAATATCCTTGAGTGAGGATTAACAACAACAAAAAAGAACATTTGGGTAGTCTCCATGTAAAGAGGATGTAGTTTACTCTAGGAAATGTATGAGTCGCAGGCAAGAGCAAAGATATATCAGCTCTGACAAGATAATGCTCAAACCACACTAACATTGTATCTATGGTCCAGAATAATCTCTCACTTCTGATATATCCAGAAAGAAGCACATTTCCACCACTCAACATGGATGTTAGGCATTGAAATCTCACCTGAACTCCATAGAGAAATTCCTCTGATTCATTATCTCCCTCCGAATCATCATCATTCCAAAACTGTCCTTTGATGTCCTAGTAATGAGAAAGAAGCATATAACCTTTATTGATCCCTGTTACCCCATGGAACAAAGAGGATGACAGGGTGGGAAATAGATCCCCACAAAGAATGGGAGAAGGCCCCTTGGGATAGAATAATTGAGTCACTAATCCCTTTATTCCTTCCACCTCATCCTTTGGGAGCATTAAGTCTTCTCTTGAATCTGGCCATAACCATGGCCTACCTCTCATTTGGTAGGATGGAGAAAAACAATAGGAAATTTTGACCTTCGTAAGTGTCAGGTATGATTGAGGGTCTAGCAGCCAGAGGGGGAAAGGATGTAAAAGAATTCAATGTCAAGGTTGATTTCTAGGTATATCTAGGTTCCAGTATAAGCTAACCTATTCTAGAATCATCAAGCGACCCAAGGCAGCTCCAAAGCATTCCTAAACTCTCTTGTCTCATCACTCCTTTTCTATCTTTTTCTTTCCCAAGAAAATTCACCTATACACACATCAAGTAATATTGTTTCCATGCCTCATCTCCATCCTTTAATTTCAAAGAACCAGTCTACCTTCCAAAGGGATGGGAAGGAAACACCAGAAAAGATGAGATCTGTACTTTGTCCCATCTATCCCCTGGATTATCAGTTGCAGAGGTGGGCAGTCAGTCCTCACCATTGGGTCAATGGGTCACACAAACTCCGTCAGTGCTAGGCAGCACCCCTCCATACCACCAGCTGAACCCAGGCCAACGAGATGGGCATTTAGGAGGTCAAAAGGGAGACAAGGGAGGGGAGTGATGTCAGAGGCTGACTGGAGATCTGCTGGGGATGGTAGGCTCGGCTGCTGTGGTGATAACAAGTCACTGTCCTGTAGAAAGTAGACAACAATTGGTTTCATCGCCAGATAAAAGCTGATGTATATAAACAGCCACACATGTTTATGGAAATACATTTTTATACTCTAGAGGCCCAATGCACGAAAATTCGTGCAAGAGTAGGCCTTTCACCAGCAAAATGGGCAAACTTGGAGCAGAGGCTTAAGACTTGGATTATGTGTGTGAACCAAGCTTATTTGATATTAGGCAAGAATGTCTGCAAGTGAGATGAACATTGTTGATTTTATAAGAAGGGCAAAATGGCACTTCAATTTCATGAGGAGAGAAGGGTTGGCCATGAGAACATGAACAAAATTAACTCAAAAAACACCAGCAATTTATGACGATGATCTCACATATATAGACAGTGACTCAGAAGACAGAAGTAATACAATAGAAGTTGAAGAAATTGATGTGTGAATGAATAGTGATGAAGAAGAGAGCAATGATGCAACAGAGGCTGAATAAAGTGATATACTGCATAACATCATAGTACTGGTATGTAAACATTAACTGCAGTAACTACTAAATAAAAATATGTTGTTTTATATTAAAAAAAAAAAAAAAAAAAAAAAGAGTAGGCCTTCATTCCCCCAGCTGCTGGCACCAGCTTCCCTCTGGCACCCGGAACCCTAGCTGCTTCTCTCTGGCTGCCACCAGGCATCCGGAAGGCAGGCTGCTTCCCTCTGCCCCAGCTTCATCCAGAAGGATGTCAGATCTAATTAGCACATTACCCTTTTATTATTATAGATATGTAGAGACACTTATACATTGAGACATACTTGCATGCATGTGCATACACTTGTGCACAGAGTTCTTTATAGATAATGAACCCTGAAACTCTATAGAAATATAAGACATTACTGTTCTATTTAAGCTGGAGAGTTGTGAGTGGAGAAAGTTCCTGCTTTAGTTCATAACACTGTACCAATCCTGAAGTCAAAAGTGATGGTGGCAACCAGATGCTTATGCTACTCTATTACATCAGTTCATTTGGGACACTTTTCACAGAACTAACTTCCATCAGAATCAGATTGTTTGGGAATTTTTTACCCACTATTACTTCTACAAGTCATCATTATCGCTTATTAGTCTCACTAGAAACCTTTATATGACAATCATAGATAATTTTAAAATTCCTCAATAATACTGAATACCGCTGAAACCGGTTTGGCTCAGTGGATAGAGCGTCGGCCTGTGGACAGAAAGGTCCCAGGTTCAATTCCGGTCAAGGACATGTACCTTGGTTGCAGGCCCATCCCTAGTAGGGGGTGTGCAAGAGGTAGCTGATCGATGTTTCTAACGCTCTATTCCTCTCTATTCCTCTCTGAAAAACAACAACAACAACAACAACAACAAAAAATACAAAAACAATAAAATATATATTTTTTTAAATCTTAAAAATAATAATATTAATAATACTGAATACCCTTTAGTAGGCACAGTCTGAACTGTTATGGCCAAAATAATGCCTTGGACTCATCTTAGAACCTTTTCCCAAAACAAAATCAATAATGATCCCAATAAATGCTCAGAAAAACCTGAACCCATAGTCCTTTTAAAAAAGTAGTACCACTATTCTGGGCCTTTCTGGCTTTGCTTGTATGTCTCACCCATTCCTACCTTAAACAGAGGGCTTCTTGTTTTCTAATATGATTCTGTTGAACCTTCTTGGTTTCTAGATTAGAGGTTTTTGAATGGGCTTTGCGGATCTGTAGCATCAGTACAACCAGGGAACTTGTTAAAAATGCAAATCCAAGGAACCCTACTGAGATCTACTGAATAGAAACTCCAGAGGTAGAGGGCCAGTAATCTGCTTTATTTATTTTTATTATTATTATTCTTTAACTATATTTTTATTTCAGAGAGGAAGGGAGAGGGAGAGATAGAAACATCAATGAGAATTATTGATTGGCTGCCCCCTACTGGAGATGGAGCCCACAGCCCAGGCATGTGCTCTTGATTGGAATTGAACCAGGGAACCTTCTATCCACAGGCTGACACTTTATTCACTGAAACAAACCAGGTAGGGCCAATAATTTGATTTTTAACATGCCTTCCAAGTTATTCTGGTGCATAAAATTTGAGAATCACTGTTCTAAATCCTTGTGTTCCAAGGACCTGTGGTGTTTTCCTCAGATACAACTTAAACCTGGTAACTGACCCATTATGCAACCTAAGGCACAAAGACAACACAAACAGCACAGCAATCCCCCAGCCAACACTGCCTGACCCATCAAAAACAATATGCAGCATAACCAATGGACACAGACACAGGGCAGTGGGGGCTTGCCTGGGGAGGGAATGGCTGGGGAAGGGGATCAATTGGGGGAAAAGGAGATATATAAAAAAACCAAACATAAAAAAACAATATGCAAAAGGAAATTGAAAGTGAGGTGCTTAAAGATGAAATAGCCTAATTTCTGAGATCTGCTTTAAAATAGTACAAAAAAAGAGAGGGATAGATGAAATAAGAATGGCAAATGCCAATTATGGATGAAGCTAGGTGACGGGTACAGGAGGGTTTCTTGTACTCTGAATGTCTTAAAAAAATAATCAGAGGCTATTTTTGAACTCTTGCAGGGGCTCTCCCTAAAAAGTCAACTCCCTGAAACTCCACAAATGCATCCTTGTTATTCTTCAACATATCCAACCATATTCCCACCACAGTCCCCTGCTGTTCCCACTTCTTGAAATGCTTTTCACCCATAGGTCTACATGGCTTGCTCCTTCACTCTTTCAGATCTCTACTCTAAGGTCACCTTGACCACCACCCTATATAAAACAGCAAAACCCCAACACAAACATACTAGCACACTCTATCCCCCTTCCCTGCTTTATTTTGTTTCACAGCACTTATCATGTTTTGACATATAAAATGTTTATTGTGTTTATCTTCTACCACAAAGTAAGATTTATGGTGGCATAGGCTTTGACTGTTTTCATTGCCTCTATTGCCAGATTCTCAACACATATTTATTAAATCATTAAATGAATGAATCAACTGTCTGCTGGATACTTAAGTCAAAGGGCAAATACATCTAAGCACCTAAATGCACCTAAACATAGATAAAATCACTTCAAAAAGGATTTTAAAAAGCAAGACTCCATTCACCTTTAAGAGCAGCTGAGAACCAGAATATGAAAATCTGGGGGCTGGGTTTGTGAGACTTGAAAATAAAGTCAGATGCTAATCTGGATGATCACAGAGGAACAAAGGAGGAGGCACTAATGTCCAGCCTAGGCTGTCTTGGGCTGGGTGGTAGGATGTCGGCAGAGTGAGTCAGAAGTACTAGCTTCCTCCAGGTCTTTGTCACTGTAGAAGTCAAGAAACAGTCTCTCTCCAAGGGCTGTTGTTACTTGGTTTCTGCTGTTAACACAAGGAGAAAAAGGTAGTTCAGAGAAAATTTTTCTTGTTCAGGGAAGAAATAATTCAGAAACTACCATCTTTTCCAAACCAGGATGTTGCAGTGAAATATATTTGCCACTTTCTACTGTCAATGCCCATTCTTCTCAAGAGATGGAAAACGAGTTTAAAAGGCAGAGTGGGGGAATTGGAGTGGTGAGTAATGAAATTCAGACTCAAAAGAATAAACCTATTTCAAAGATTTCGTGTTATACGTAGACTACAGATGTAGGGAGGTCAAGCAACTTGCTTAGTATAGAGGAACCATAAGTATATTTGACAGGTCTTATTTCTATCTTTACGTGATGTGATTTTAAATAATTTAAGGGGTTCCTAATGAGTTAAGCAAGAAAGACCTGATTTATCTAAATTAGGTAAAGGAGAGACCCTTTTCAAAAGAAGCTGGGCCAAATGTGTGTGAACAGTGTCCAGAGAAGGGCATCCTTCAGCTCAGTGTAGTTTGGATGATGGCAGCTAACATAGAATGCTTTATGAATTTTCTTGGTAACAGACCAAATGTAAGTAAACCTCAGTTTGGATCACCAAGGTCTTTTCCTGGTCCACAGGGACTGTCGGTGTGACAACTTTATCTAGCCAAAAATGTCAACGTTTAAACTCTGGGGTTGACTCCCAGCTTTGTGGTCTTGGGAAAGGAGGTTACTCTGGTTCACATCGAGTGCTCTTTTTTCAGAAAGACGAGGCCACCGAACAAAGAGTGCGGAGGAGAACCCACAGAGGGCGGTTCTCTCAGTACAACGCTATCTCGGTATACCCTGTGGAGGGAGAAAACGGGGTTGCCCCCAAAACACTAGCCGCCACCTCACTTCCAGGACAGGCCCGGAGGCCTCCCTTGGGGGAGTCCCCGGTCTCCTCCAGAGACCCCAAGGACTCCTGCGTCCGGGGAAAGGTCTATGCACGAACTGTGTTGCCCGCCGCCCGGCGGGAGCGAAGACTGTCAAGCCTAGGAGAGCCCCTCAGAGCCCCCCCACCCTCGTTCAAGACCCTCACTTCATCTACCCAAGCCGCACCCTTCACGCGTCCCGGCCGCCCCGCCCCTCCCCGTGGAAGCCGCTTCATAGGTCGGCCTCGCGAGTACTCACGGCGACCCCGGGCCGCGCGCTGCTGCCACTGAGGGGACGAGCGGCCCGGGACGCCCCGTGGGGGCGGAGTGGCAGAGCGAGGGGCGGGGGCCGGGCCGGGCCGGGCCGGGCGGGCGAGGTCGCGCTTACCCCCCCTTGCCCCGCCCCGTCGTTCCGTCACTGGCGCATGCGCACACGACGATACCGTGGCCACGTGACGCGCCCCGGACCAACCACCACGCGGCCTGCCCCGTAGGCGCGCAGCTGCTGGCGAGGCCTGGCTCGCGGAGCCTGCGCACTGCTAGCAGGTTGGGTG